TCATATTATTTTTATTATTTTTTATTCAATCAATTTCATATGTATATCCGTTTCTATTATTGTTTGATCGAGTAAAAAAATTTAATAAATAAACTCATCAAATATAATCGAGAAAATGATTTATATTGCAAAATCAAATATCTTAATTTATATTTGTCTTTTGATTTTTTTAATTTTATTTTTAGTCATAGATAGTTCTTGATTTATTTAAATAGATAAATCCTTAAGTTTTTAAATTTATATTAAATATTATTTTATAAAAAAACACTAGAAATAACCTACATATCAATTTTTTATTAAAAAATATTTAACTTGTGGTGAATTACAAGTAAAATAACTAATATACAATATAGTAAAAGGGCTTAATGCCCCTCTTATTGTTCACTTAAACTTAAAGCATTACCGATTGGAGCAGTATAATGGTAGCTCAGCTCTTGCCACAAAGAGTTGCAAGGATAGCGAGGGAGAGGTGGGGTTGTTTTTTCCCTGGGATGCATTTGACATTGATTAAATGGTTGGGGAGAAAATAATCACTTCAAATTTTGATTGGAGTAGTGTAACAGTAGCTCAGCTCTGGCCACAAAGAGTTGTAAGGATAACAAGGGATGGGTGAGGTTGTTTTTTCACTAGGATGCATTTAATATTAAATGGATGATTGGAGAGAAAATAATCACTTCAAAATTTGGTGGGGATACCTTGGGTGTCAGCTAGGTTCATGCCCCAGTAAGGACACCTTGCAATTAGGAAGACCTGCCCTTGCACTGAGTTAGGCTATGCACCACATGGCACTAGGGCATTGGCTTGCCCTTACCTTGCCCTTGCGTGAATCAAGCCTGTTATCCCACATGGAGACACCTAGCACTTAGGTTGCCTCGACAAGATGTATAGCCAGACTCGCTCGCTATATAGGGAGACTTGGCACTTGGGCTGCCTTGCTTGTGTGCTGGGTCAGACTAGACGGGGCACTGGGGTTAGGAATAAAAATATTTTTTAGTATTAATACTTTCAATGATAATAAGAATAATAATATTTGTATAATAAATAATAATATTTTTGATATTAATACTTTGAACTAAAATGAAAATAAATATTATTACTTTCAATTATAGTAAAAATACAAATATTTGTAATGCAAATAATAATATTTTTGATATTAATGCTTTGAATTATAATAGAAATAGTAATATTTATAACACAAATAATAGTATTTTTAATATTAACACCTTCAATTATAATAAAAATGATAAAATTTATGGCACAAATAATAACAATAATAATAATTTCTAATTTTATCTTTCAAATCAACTATATAGTTTTTCTTTAGTGGTAATAAGTAATAACATGTTGGCTCTAGATGCGCCCAACCCCATGTTAGGTCTGGATGTGATCGCACCCAATCACATGTTGGATCTGGACGCGTCTTCGCTCAATTCCATATTGAGCCGGTCGTAATTGTGGCCAACCTCATGTTAGGTCCGGAGGCTTCTGTGTCCAACCCCATGACGGACTTGGACGTGTCCACGCCCACCCAACCTTATGTTAGACACTACTATGTCCACCTCCATGTTGGAATATTATTATTTGTGTTATAAATATTATTATTTTTATTATAATATAAAAATATTATTATTTGTGTTATAATCATCATTGGAATTTTTAATATAATTATTTATGTTATAAATATAATTATTTTTATTATAATTAATAGTATGAATATTAAAAATATTATCATTTGTGTTATAAATATTATTATTTTTATTATAATTAATATTATTAATAAAATAATTAATAAATTTAAAAAAAATTATTAATAATATTAAAAAAATTATTTTTTATATTATAAATTTGTACAATATTTTTTATAAAAATAAAAAGTAAACCTGCGATACACTGCGATATCCAACTAGTCATGAGTCCATTTGTTTGTGTGGTTGCTTCTGTGTTTGAAGCAACCATATGATTACATAAAAAACTCAATTTATTTTTGGTGAGACTTACTATAATTCAGGTTTGAAACATGATTTTGCCAAAGCAGCTCCAAACTGCTTTTCTCCATACAATGTTTTAATGAACAATACAATTCACTTGTACTGTTCACGAATAAATTACACTGTCCACTTAATAAACAGTGCAATTCACTTATACTGTTTCATATGAATAGTTTTGTTTTTGTTTTTTCAGTGTGTTTATTTTTTTAACAATTTTTTTAAAAAAAACTAGTTTAGAGTGAATTAAATTTACTTGCACTGTGATGTGAATAATATTTCTTTTTCTCAAAAAACTAGTGTAGAGTGAATTAAATTCACTCGCACTATAATATCAATTTTATATTTGATAATATTTTATCTAATTTTATCACATGGTCAAAAAATTATGAAAACTATAGTTCTTATTGGATAAATTTTGTACGTAATGGAATTATAGATAGTTTAATGGAATAATAAAAAATATTTTATATAAAGTATTATTTATTTCATGATGTAATAGTAATAATTAATTCTACAATATTTAAATTTAAAACCATCAACATATATATATATATCTTATTTTATTATCTCAATTTAAAAAGCATTTTTAACCAAATAAATTAAACTATTTTTTGTTCAACTTAAATTTTAACCACAGTTTTAACCAAACATATATAAATATCATAACAACCTTAATTAAAAATACTTTTTATAAAACAACTTTTTTCAAACCATAAACACAAAAGCTACCACAATACCAAACACACTCGAATCCCGAGAATCAAATTATATCATTATCTCGTGCTACATTCTAGGAGAAATTAATTTTTTTAATATAAAAAATATATTTGATATTGTTAATATTTTTTTTCTAATGAGAAAAAAAATCATGTGAGGATTAACATAATATAATCTTGTTGACTTTACAGGTCTAAAAACAACCCATACAACCTGTAAAAATATAGTTCGACTAAAAAAATCAAGAAGACACATCTTTTTCTAATATTAAGATAACATCATATTAGATTGACTTATATCAACCCAGGTTAACATGTCAAATCCACGATTCGGATTATGAAATTATGACAACTTAATAGAAATCAAATCAAAATAAAATATGAAACTTACTTCTCAATTAATCCAATATTGAAAGATGAAATTGAAAAAATAAATAAATTAAAAAAGATCTAAAAAAACCCAAGTTAACATCTGAAACTCACGATCTGAGTCATAAGACTAAGATAACCTCATGAAAAGTAAATCAAAATAAATTATGAATTCAAATCCTTAATTTGAAGGATAAAATTAAAAAAAAATAATTTAAAATAAGAACATAAAAATAACCTGAATTAATCTGCCAAACACATGGCCTAAGTCATTAAACCGAAATAACTTTATAGAAAAAAAATATTGATTTAACCTAGGTTAACTTGTCAAATCCTCAACTTTGATCATGAAATTGAAATAACTCAATAGAGAGCAAATCAAAATAAATTATGAAACTCAATTCTTAATTGTCATTGTTGTATCTAATATTGAATGATGAAATTTGTCAAAAATTTAATTAATAAAATGACACAAAAATGAGTCAAGTCAACCCAGGTTAACGTGGTAAGCACAATCATTGGATCATGAAATTAAAATAACCTAATAAAAAACAAATAAAAACAAATCATAAAGTCTAATTCTCAATCAAACACAATATTAAATGATGAATTTGGGGAAAAAAGTTAATTAAAAAACTGAGTCAATGGGGTTAACCCGTCATATTCGCGATCTTGGTCATAAGACAAGAACATCCCAATAAAAATAAAATTCATTGTTGAAGAATCAGTGATCTAGATCATGAAATTGAGAAAACCTCTTTATAAAGAAAAAAAACTAGATTTAACTGGGTTAAAATGCCAAAACTCGCAACTTTGATCGTGAGACCAAGATATTCCTATAGAAAGCAAATTAAAATAAATTATAAAACTCAATTCCTAACCAATTCAGTATTGAATAGTGAAATTGAGAAAAAAAAATCAATTAAAAAAACGCAAAAAACAACTTAAAATCAATTAAAAAAACACAAAAAACAACTCGAGTCAATTTGGGTTAACCTGTTAAATACTATTCTCAGGTCATAAGACCAAAATAACTTATTAAAAAGTAAACAAAACAAATTATAAAATATAATTTTCAACCAACCTAATATTAAAAAATAAAATTTTTTAAAAAAGTTAATTAATAAAAAAACTTTAATTAATTAAGTTAAATAGCTAAATTTATAATTCGTATCATTGCAACATGACAATTTAATTTTTAAAAAATCTAATATTAAAAAATAAAAATAAAATAAAAAATAAAAAAATAAAGATCTATTTAAATAAATATACAGTGATAAACTAAAATCCCGATTTTAGTTTATGGTTAATAGTTCCGTATCTAGAACCGTTGAAATCTTCAAAACGGGACGCGTCATCAATTCGTGGACATTCATGCCACTAGACCCCAGTTTGTGCCTGTCGTGTTAAGACTTTTGGTTAATTACGGGAAAAAAAATTAATTTGTCAATATAATAAATTTGGATCGGTTGGTTGGACACTGCAACAAGTAAGTAGCTGCAAGACTTTCTAACAAGCAAACCTCTACGTAATGACAAGCGAGTTATTTTCACATTCCCAATCAAGCTAGATGTCTTCGTCGCTGATATTCAGAGACAAACTTCAGGTGGTAGCGTAATATACAATGGTAACTCCATCCTGGCGATCTCAAGACTAAAAAACACACTCGAGACATAAGCCCAAAGTGGCGAAATTACCATTGCAAACTCGAAGGGATTTTCTGCAGTGTCAAGAAAACACAGGAAGGGGGGGGGGCGGGGTC